CAGTTCATAGAAGTACCCTGTTTGAGAACCATCATGGGGTTTTTAGAAAAACTTTCTGTAAGACAGTCTCTTTTGATTTGGGTAAGTCTTAAGCACTGTCTTGTGTAATTTTTTCCTAAAAATTAATAAAACAATTAAATATAAATAAAAATAAAAATAAAAATAAAATGTGTAAGGACCAAAGAACCATCGACTTCCAAAGTTGTCTTGTAATAGGATACAAAAACTATTATATCCCAACAGATTTCCTCGTGTACCATATACGTTCGAGCTATGTAAATTGTTGAAATTAGTTGAAGATTGGATATGCCTTCTAGAATAAAACTTTCTAAATTAATAATGTTGACCACATAAAATTTATTAATTTATAGAGGTTATTATTTTATCGATAAATCAATAATTTATTAATTTAAAAGAATTTTTTAAATTATATTGTGTAACAAATACCCTACTTTTTTTCATTTTTTGGATATGATTCCATAGTTTTTACACGTAATGAGAAAAATCAAAGATGAAATTTTCTCAAATATAAATTTCAAGAGAAAAAAAGATCAACAATCTACTACTTTTCTGAAACTTCTTAGATATTTTTTAGGATCATTATTAATTTATGATCTCTAGAGGACCTATATTCATATAGGAATCTTTTTAAAATTTATTATCTCATTAATTAATAGGTTTTATTGGACTTTTGTAATAGTCCCAAGTTGTAACCGGAAATATTTTTTTATTTAATAGAGTTTATTAATATATAGGATATTAATTTAGGGAGTTTTTAATGTATATCATATTTGGAGAGCACCAAATTGTTTCCAATTGGAAGAGTTCATGGAACACGACATTGAGACAGAATTACTTTGAAATTCGTAAAGTACTAAACGAAAGAATGATCAAATCAGTAGAAAATACAAATATGTAACGGAAAAAACCAGTCAAGTGTTAATATTGTGGGGAAACTAAGTTTCTTGCCAAATGTAAATAATCATTTGGGTAGCTTACTATTCGCATAACTAAACAAGTGATCTTAGTGAAAATTGTGTGTCATTTTTTAGTTTTTCAATACCTTTGTAACACATGAAATAAAAATATCCTCCATCTAGTATAAGTAGCAAGGTAATTTGAACAATAAGTCAAAAGTAAGATATTAGAATCACCAACTGTGACCATATTTATACATAGTTGTACAATGAATAAATTATCCCTAAGAAACAGTAGAGAAATTTTTTTTCCATGAACAACGAAAGGACAATAAAAAATACGTGAAAGATAATAGAGAGTCTATCAAAAGAATTCAAGAAAATCAGATTTAGTTTTACTACCAAACTTTTCAGGTATTACTCCAAATTGTCTTTACTTTAATGTAATACTCTAAACTAGATATACAACATATTTCTAATAAGGTAGAAATTCTAGAAAAGTTAATGCTGGGATGTTTTTATTAGTGAATTGTTAGGAAATACTTTAAGTTTTTTTTGTTAATTAAAAATGCGTATTAGGTGAAATTTAGGACAAATTAAAATGTCTAATATTAAGGACCGAGGGAGTAATAAACATTACTTAGTTTTATTATATTATCAAGAAAATGACCAATTTATAAGAGCTAGACAAATATTTTTGAGTTTTTAATTTTTAATTTTCAAAATGACAAACCAGATTTTGGTTTTTCCTCTCGGTAAGAGGTAAAAAGCTCCGTTGCACACTCACATTTCTTTTCAGTTTCCCACCTTTCCCCAGTTCTTCATCATCATCAGCATCAGCATCAAAAAGCCCACTTTTGTCCAGCTTGATTTTCTTGCGTAGAGGAGAAAAGAACTATCAAGGCAATGAGTGTTTGCTATCAAGAGTGAGTCTAGCAATTGAGGCGGAGGACCAGCTTACGGATTGGAGAAAGGAAATGCAGGAGCAATTATTGAAAACCGCTACGCAGACTAGCTGTAATACCCAGAAAATTTTCCCAAAAAATTTAAAAGAAGAAGATTTTAAAGTTGTGGTTGCAAAGTTAAAATGATACTATCATACAATAATAATAGTAATTGGAAGAGTAGAAAGTCTTCAATAGTATAAGATTAATTAAGTTATAGATAGTGAAAAAAGTAAGAGGCATCCATAAAAAATAAAATAAATGATAAAATACAAAGTAAGGGAGATTAATAAATAGTAAGAGACATCAATGAATAGTGATAAAATAATTACAATAATAATAAATATAAAAATAATAGAAACTTCCATGATAGTAAAAATAATGTTACACTAATGAAAGACAAATGTGAATAATAAAAGTCATCCTACAAAAAAATTAAAATAATATGGAAGAGTTAGGTAGGAATAGCAATTAATATTAAAATGCAAAAAAGGAGAGCTAGTTAGGAATAAAATATTAGTGAAAGGGTAAGTAGGAATAGTGAAATATATTTTAAAAAGTAAGGAAAGGGTAGGTAGGAATAGCGAAATCTTCACCCTTAAATAGAGGATTTCACTTTGAGTTTGGGCACACCAAAATCAACAAAGGGAGTGGAAACTTCCAAGTGAAGGACTACAGCATAGTTGAAGTTTAAAAATGAGCAATACCTTGTGGAGCTACAAAATGCTACATCCTGAAGATGAATTTTCTGATGCACAAAGCAAAAATATAAATCATAAGTTAGTTGATTTTCTCTTCGAAGATCTACTTACTACACATTCTACCTACTCTCTGGTTTTTTAGTTTTCTTTTAATGGAAGTGATTATATTTCCTTTCATGCACTTTAATAACAATGCCCTCTTTTGTTGAGGTATTGAATCATCAAACGTCCAAAATTTTGCAGGGCGATTTAGATGATAGCACCTTGCTTTTGCATCACAGAGATACTGTGGAGATGAAATTGAGTTTGGCTGAAGATCTTGCTTTACATGGAATCTCTTTTTAAGGTTCAGTTTCTGTACCCTGTTTCTTTGGAGTATTTGATGAGTGTTAATGCTTGGTGATCATGTTTGAATTCTGAATAGGAGCCAACTTATGACTTTTTACCTGTTTGTAACTTGAACTTCGTCTAAACTCATTTTTTATTTGCACTATTTGTGAAACATTTCACCCGAACATTTCATAAGTAGGAGTTAAAGAATAAGTTGCTTGTATTATATTGAATGTAATACATTCAATTTGATCATGTGATCAAAACATCATGAACTCATTGATATTATATAAATTTTCTCATTTTCTGTTGAAACTGTGTTGTAGGCTTTTTTTCTTTCTTTATGTAGATTTGGGTTTTGCTTACGTGTATCTTATATGTTATGTCTTTTATTTCGTTCTCTGTTTTTTTAAGGGAATATTTTATATGTTCTTGATATAGAGGTGTTACTACTCACTTGGTTTTCCTTTAGTTTTTCTTTTATGAATGAAGTAAAATGCTTCTCTTTAAAGGTGAATTGGTTCATTTTTCAGGTTGTTAAGGTGTTGCCCTTTGAGGTACACAAGAATGGTTGGTATGCGGAGTAGTTTGCCTTCTTATTTCAACTAGAATAGGTAGTACGTCGAACTTTTGTGAACATCATATGTATTATGGATTAAATACTGCATTGAATTATAGTAGTAGTTTTAAGTTAAGTCTGTAAGAATTGTTGATTATTCTACTCGGATGTCATGTAATTGATATTTTTAGTTATAATTCTTTCTTCATTATATTTAATGCAAATAATTATCGTCATTTCTAATTTATTATAACAAAAATTTGGTCATGGTGACTAACACGAGATTTTGAGACAAAAAATGGTCATGAATACCAAATTTATTATTTTTATTTATTTTTTGATTTTACAATTTTAGTGACCAAGGAAGTGGTCCTAATAATTCCACAAAAATCCAAAATTGTTGACCAATTAAGTTGTCTTTATGTCGGTCACTAAAATTAGCTGCCCGGGCTGCCCATCAAAAGTTTGGTGACCAATATAATTGGTGACCAGCTATTCACATGGTCGCTCAATCTCAACAGTTGGTCACCTAAGGGCTTTAGCGACAAGACTTAGTCGACCCACCAAAGGTTGGTCACTAGTTGGTCAACCAAGAGTTTTAGTGACTGGACATGGTCACCAAAGGCAATTTTTGTGACCAGAAACTGTTGGTCACCAAAGCCCATTTTTTTTGTAGTGAAGAAAGTTGAAGGTAGCTTGGGGGAAATTCTTAGAGTTTCAAAAGTTTTCTATGAGGTAACCTTCAAGTCTCACTGTTAGTTAGAGTTTTTGTTTTGTTATCAAGAAGAATTGATAGGAATTATATTCCCTTTATTTAGATTCTTACTTATGATCTAGGATTTGGAATGCGTAGAACTAGGAACTTATTTATATCATAGTACATATGCTTTTGTGTTAGTAGCTCGTTTTCTTAAATAATAACATACGTTTCTTAGTTGTAATATACTTTCTTCCAAAGTAATGCTATATATATTTTCATGATACTAGTACATTTTTCTTAAATAATAATATAAATTAGATTTTGTAGTATACATGCTTTCCGATATATGTCATATACGTTTCCTTAATATTACACTTTCTTAAAACCTCAATATATACTCTCTTAGTAGTAATATACTACTTTTCTAAACAATATTATATATGTCTATTAGGAGTTCAGAAGGATTGTAGTATTCATATTGAACAAGATATATATGCGATAATAGGGGAAAGGAGAATATTTGTGAATATCACGATGATGGAAAATGCTCAAGGAAAGGTACGTTTCCTCGCACGATGTACATGCTCGCTTAAGCGCTTATGTGAAGTAAATGATTTATTTGGTATGCATGGTGTGCATTCCCTCGCACGACTTGCATATCCGTTTTAAGTAATTATACGAATTAAATGTTTTATTATGTACAAAATGTGAAAATGTTTTATGATTTATGAAAATATTTTATGAAGAATGTTTTGAAATTGAAGTATGGTTATGATTATAAATAAATTCTGAAATTGAGACTATATGCACGTACGATATTATGGTAGTGATCACGAAAGTGAAAGAGGAATGAAAAAGCTAGAAAGCTCAAATCCCCAAGTAAGTGTGAAAGTGGATTAAAAAGCTGGAAAGCCCAATCCATGAATAAATGTAAAAGTAGACGAAAAAGCTGGAAAGCCCAAGTCCAAAGATAACAATAGGCGAGAGTAGCCTTAAGTTAAAAGTATCCTTAATTTCGGAGGGCTGATATCCGAAACTGTGCACAGGTTATCATGGTAAAGTATATCGCTATGTCTCAATTTCGGAAAAAATGTTTATGTGAACGTTTGATGTTATGAATGTGTCAATTTCACAAAAGTGGATGTTACAAGGACGTCTGATGTTTTATAAGCAATGAATGGCTCAATTTCACAAAAGTGGACATTTATGGGAACGTATAAAGGTATGAAAGTTTAATTTTACAAAAATGGACGTTTATGAGAGCGTTTGATGTTTTATAAGTTTTGCCTCATGTTGAAATATGAATGATTTTGTGAAAATAGATATTTATGTGAATGTCTTATTTCAACTTGTGAAGTGGAGAATTTATGAAAGTGAACGTTTTACAAACCTAAGTGTTGTTTTCGATATGAAAGTGTGCTATGAAATGTTTTTGAAATAATCATGATTATGTGAAATGTTTTTAACTTTATATGAGTACTTGAACTTGCATATACTGACCCCCCAATAGATGTTTAGAGTGACAGTGATGATGATTGCTGTGAAAGGAAGTTGGGAAAGAATCACAGATGTTGTCACTACGTCAGAGAGAAGAAGAAGTGCTAAGAGATTTATAGCGATTTAGTTTCCGCCTCAAGGTGTTTATGATGTAATTATCATAGTACGAATTGTATTTTAGACATTTGAAATAAAAAAAAAAAAACAATGTAAGTTACCTTACTTGTATGACAATGGACAATGTTCATTGCTATACTTGTGGCGTGTCAACTAGGCCCTAAGTTGGTGCGTGACATTAGCTCATCAGGCGACGGGGAATTATGCAAGGCTCGAAGATCGATTGGCTGGAATTGAGGCAAGACTTTCAGGATTGGAGTTGGAACAGAAAGTAGAGAGCAAATTGTCGAGCTGTGCAGGTAAAATTCTGAACTCTCCTTCTGTTGCTTCAATTTCTGGTACTAAGTCATGTAAGGGCGAGGAAATTGGGAAGCATACGAGTAAGAATTATAAATAGAAAACAAAGTTAGATGTAATTGAGGAAGACGGTGATCATACAAAATCAAAAGTAAATAAGAAACCTTGGAAACCAAAATCTAAAGTGGAATTGACGGTATTTGATGGGAAAATATAAGGAATTAGATAAGAAAATGTGAGAAATACTTTAAGATGTACAAAATGTCTGATGATGAGAAGTTGGAATCAGTAGAATTTTAGTTGGATGGTAAGGCAGACATTTGGTTTCAGAGTTTCAGAAAATGTTATCCTCGAGCTAATTGGCAGTTGTTTGAAGATGAATTGTTAAAAAGGTTTAAGGATTTGGAAAGTTTAGATCCAATTGAGGAGTTTAATAAGTTGACACAGAAAGGGAGCCTCAACGAGTATTATGATAGATTTGAGGAATTGAAATCATATTTGTTATGTGTAAATCCTCATTTGAGTGAAGCTTACTTTGTGTCCAGTTTTGTAAGAGGTTTAAAAGATGAGTTCAAACCCTTTGTAAGGTTTATGGAGCCACATATATGTTTTGAGAGCTTTTCAGGCTGCTCAATCACAAGAGAAAACTTTATAATTGGCTTTGAAACCTAAGTTGACTATAATTGCTAATAATAGAAGTTTTAATGCTGGTAGGAAATTGGAAGTGCAAAGGATTCCAAGGCTGGTAATGGAATGTTTAAGAGATTATCTCCTCAAGAAAAGCAATTCAGAAAAATTAATAACCTCTCTTGAAAGTGCAATGAGTGCAAGTTTGATTATGCAGGTTTTCTAAATTTTGGAAACATATCTTGCTCATATGATTTTGAATATACATTACTTATATAGATCTTTTAAGCCTCAGTTATTCCCAAGCAAAACATATAAGTTAAAAATTTTCTTTTCTTTTGAACAAAAAGACTATCTTTGCTTTTCTAAATTTATCCGTGGAGCCAACTCAAATGGGATTTTTTTTACCTTTTTTTTTTCTTCTATGCATATGTTTTACATGAGTACATTTATTACCAAATATATTGTTGGAAATATATTATGGGTGAATATTTAAGGAGATCCATTCCAATACATTTAGCAATGCATCCTAACAGTAATACCTTGTGTTTTGCATAGTGACCAACCCTTTTCCTGTCTTTTAGGGTAAAACATAAAATGAACAACAAACTCTTACAGTTTTGTTACTTTGATCTTTTGATTTTTTTTTTCTTGGTTATTTTTGTAGTTTTTAGAATATTTATTAATATTGGTAGTTTCATAATCTCTATATATTAACTAGCTATTATATGATGTAAAATTTTAATACAATAATATTTAAATCCGACCGTGCAACGCACAAGGTACATACTAATATAATGGAAAACGAATTCAAATTTGCAAATCATGGTGTGATTAGATTTGATTTGCTTTCTTAAGATAAGATTTTTTTTGTTAGTTTGATTTTTTATTATATCTCAAAAGGAATTAATAATTAGGAAAATTAAAACAGAAAAGGTATCCTTTATCTTCAACTAAAAATAAAAAACGATTTCTAGAAGTTCTTTGTTACGAAAAGTGTGGAAATATAGTTAAAAGTGAGAAAAGCAAAAATAATAATGATCATAATAAAAGGATAGAAAAAGATGGAACAAATCTGGGTTAGATGGAGAGAAAATGATATGTACAGTGAAAATTAGTGATTGATATAGGATACTATAATTCTCCTAATTTTGTTGGCATTTTGTCTTTAAAATTTTGTCTGTTTTCTACAAAATTAATGTTTTAATCTTAATTTTTTTGGAAACGACTTTACTCTTAATTATTGTATATATATATATATATATATATATATATATACGCCGGGAACCCTACCAGAGATGAGTAAACCCACACTCACTGTAATAGCGTACAAACAACAGTAGGAGGTAAATTACCCTAGGCAAACTCGGGGTGACAAGCTCGGTTCATGAGTGGGTTTGCTATTGTGTACATATTAATCATTATAATTTTTTACTATTATCTTTTTCATTGTCTTTGTCATTACTATTAGAAAAAGTATCGAAATATACTTAGATATTGATTAAATGAAGAAGTATACACAGTTTATTTACATAGTACACATTATGTATTAGGTAGGTTTTATTTGTTTTTAATGAACTTTGGAACATTGCTTGTCGATTTATTTATTGAGAATTTTATCAGTAAGACTATCTTTGTAGTAAAAACTCCGAAATATTGTTAAAAGCGGTTACTTTTCGGTTTATTGATAAATTTATTACAGGAAATGTGAGACAATGATGACCTGATGTAAGTTTTCGACATTAAAATTGTGCAATATTAAAATAAATTTAGATTAAAAAAAGTCAAATTACTATCTGTTTACTTAATTATACTCCTAAGGTTGCCACAAAAAAACTAAGAATATTTTTTCTCTGTTAGCAAAATATTCTTGCGCAGGAACAGTATGATTGTAGAGCTCAAGATTGGATTAAAATTACTTTACGTTTACATCACATTTTTACGCTTCGAAAAGTTATTGTTATTCTTTATAGTACTCCCTCCATTTTTTTTTATATGTCTTTCTAGAGAATTCATTAAAATCAAGAAAACATTAATTTATTTAAATACAAAAACATCCCTGTTAATTGTCTACACAATTCATCACAAACCAATAGAAATTCATTATAAATATTATTTTATTTTCAATGCAAGGGCAATTTTCATAAAAAGTGGTCAAATACGCCTCGATTTGTGAAAAAGACATATATTTAAAAAAATTCACCAAACCCTAAAGCGACATATATTTCAAAATGGGGGAAATATTACAATACATGCTTCTTTTTTTTATCAAGAGAAAAAAGTCCAATTTGTAAGAGGTAGAAAAAGATTTTTGAGTTTTTTATTTTTTATTTTTAAAAGACTAACCAGATTTTGATTTTTACTCTTGAGGTAAAAGCTCCGTTGCACCCTCGCGTTTCTTTCCCGTTTCCCACCTTTCCCCAGTTGTTCTTCATCATCATAATCATCAAAAAGCCCACTTTTGTCCAGCTTGATTTTCTTGCTCAGTGGAGAATAGAGCAATCAAGGCAATCAGTGTTCTTGATCTTTCGTTCGAGAAGCAGTGTAAGTTAATCCTGTTTTTACTATATTTCAGCACTCCATTTCCCCGTATTTTGAATATTACTGTTTCTCCGATGCCTCCTTGATTGAAGTTTTTTGTTTTGATCGAAATGAAAAGCGTTTTAACATTGTGTTGATTGAAAGCCAATTGAAATCTGGAGTGCCATGGGGGCGTATTTATTGTTTCTGATTGATTTGGGTAGAAGTTTGCCCCTGATGTGTTTGATATCTGTTCAAAATTTGGGAAAAATCAATTTCCGTGATCACACCGCCGTTCTTCAACACATTTGACAGTGGCAAAAAGACTCCAGCAACGGCAATTGCTTAAAAGAATCTGTTGACTCTGACTCTGAAAGAATTCGGACAAGGCATTGAGTTAGAAGAACAGACAGAATCTGGTATGTTGTCGATATAATTTAGTTTGTTGATACTTGTGCTTCCTTAACCAAAAAATAAATAAATGAATAAATGTTTAAGGCCCATTCCAACAGCGGATTGGTTGCCACCTTCTAGCTCGGCTTCTACCTTTGTCAAGAAAAGAAATTTAGTTCCAAATACAACTCGTAATTTAGAGCAAAAACAAGCTTTTCCCTGTTTAATTATATGATTTTCGCTTCCCTTTCTCACTCCCTCCACAAATTGTAATTGCAGATATGACAGATAAGCAGGTGGTTAAGCCAGTCTACTACAAGTCCTCAGTGAAGGATCCGGGTGTTCGTGGTGTATTGAAAATGGTAATTCCTTCACCATCATCTCCTTGTTTAGGCGAGGAACATTTGTTAAATTAGAGCAGGAACTGAGAAAAGAAAATCTTCTGCACCATTTTTTGAGATGGTTGAAATTACAGTGAGAAATATGATTCAGATAGAGATTCTTTGGTTGAGGTTCATAGGTTTTTTGGGAATCCAATACTAAAGTTATGTTTGTTTTCCTGTTTTGTGTACTTCTGCAGAACAAAGATAGGTTCGTGTTCACCCCTAGTGATCCAACTTCATCAGTGAGACTTAATGTAGAGTTTCGAACAATCACAGGTGTTCTTCTATTGATACTTTGGATGCGTAGTTTTATTTCGAATATATTAGTCATTTTTTCCAGTCTCTGGCTTAATTTTCAGTTTTATGAATCTGCTTAGTAATGTGGTATTCTCTTTCATGTTCCCTTGTTGAAATTTCTAGGCCACAGATTTACCAAGCAAGAGACCAAACAAGGTTCTAAACCACCCCAGTGCCTGCTTAATCTTAATCAAGATCAGGTTAAAGGGCTTGCTAAATTTTTGAGCATCTCTTTTGGAATAAGTGAGTTTATTCTTTCTTCATTTTGATCCTTTGTTTACAACACTTCTTCACCATGACAGGGTGGGTACCTTTTTCAGTTTGATTCTTTCCCCGACCGTGATATTTGCAAAGATTTTGTAGGTAATCTCCGTAATTCAATTTATTTGATCATGCTCCTGATATTACATAAAGAGACTCACCCATTATACTGTTTAGACTTTTTTTCAAGCATCCATGCTTGAATGTATATGGTCCAATGAGATACTTATTTGTCCTCTTCTTTTTCAATATAACAAATATTTTTAAAAAATGCAGTTTTAAGCTCAAGTTGGGGATTGGGGCACAAAACAAAAATTGGAAACTTAAACTTTTCAGTTGTCCTTGGCATCAAGACTTAGTTTTTGCAATGCATAGATAAGATAATATAAAGCTCATTGTTTGTATCTGTTATTATTATGTATGGATTATTCCACTAATGTAATAAAGGAATCAGATGTTAAAATATACGACTATTAGTTACTTAGAGTTAAAGGGTGCAGGGTTTAATTGTGGAAAAGAGAAAATTTTGGTGATGCTTGTAGGAGAATGAGGGACCAGCCTTCACTCTCCCCCTTCCCAATCTATGGCTCATCCCCATAAATTATGGTGTACACTATTCTCATTTCTCAAGTCATCTTCCAAATTCCCAGTGATATGCCAATGCTCATTTGTAGAAATACTTTTATGTCCATCTTTGTCCCTATGTTGAAGTTTCAATTTTGAAAAGTAGTTGACTTTTCTAGAGACAACTGTTATTGTGCATTTACCATTTTGTAAAGGTGAATGATTTTCTTTTTTTTTTTTTTTTGGTGTGAAGTAATTAAAGTTTTGATGCATACTTATTAATATAATTAAGAAAGAAAAAAAGTCCTTATTCAGTTTTTGCGTTTGTGCTGTAGTTATTCTCAATATGTAGATGGCAGGATGTGAATTTGTGCCATTGGTTGTGCAAAGTTGTGTATTGAAATTACTGAATCCAAAAGTCATTTTTCTGCTTTAATTGAGCGAGGATTTTGGTCCGACAGATGTATAATGCAAGTATACATTTTATGGACAGCCAGAGTTCTTGAAATGAGAGATGCTGGAAAAGCAGTTTCCAACAAATCTGCTACTCCAGTTCATGATGAACAACTTAGTGCAGCGGAAATGGAACGACGGATAAAGCTACTTCAGGAGAACAGGTAAAACTGTAGTGAACTACCTGATTAAATCTATTTTAAACAATGTCATAATATTTCCATAAAAACAAATGGCAGTGAACTACAGAAACTTCACAAGCAATTCGTGATTGGAGGTATTCTATCTGAAGCTGAATTCTGGGCAACACGAAAGGTCAGTTATTTAAAAATATGTTTCAAGATTGGCACTCTTCTTTCTTTTAATGGAATATTCGTACATGGTATTGGACCCATATATAGAGATTTTTTCTTTCCCCCGCTTTCTTTAACATAGTATCTGACCGGAGCATGATGTATTTTGGTCCATATAGCCGATCCTACACTCCAACCTGGAAAATTTTGGTGGTGTATTTTGAAGCGTTTCCTTGTTCTCTTGCGTTGTACCCATGAGACAGTTTCTATGAAGTTGAAGTGGATAGTTGTTAACAGTCAATCGTATAAGCATTGAGCGAACTTGTATATTGGCAGTTGTGTATGCCTTGGTGATCATTGCCCCAATGAAATTCCAACCTAGCCAAATCTTGCTTTCTAGATAACTTTGCTTGCATGGCTCCTTCCTTACCCTTGACTAGTTGGAGATTGCGTATGGAAAGTGTTCCTTGAAGTTCTTCCAAGAAACCAAGTTCTTCAATTCCATGACCTTTCCCTTCTCCAATGTTGAAGAACTTTAGCGTCTGAAGGCAAGTCAATCGCCCCATACGAACTGGCATTTTAATCTTTTGATCATGCAGGACATAGTCTTAAACTGTTCAAATTGCTCATCCCTTTCGGAAGAGGGACCTTTAACGATGAATCCAACTTTAAGGTTTGTAAATTATAGAGCCTGCAAAGAGACTCCGGCAAGTTTTCACTTCGGTTACAAAAAGGTCAAGATACCTCAAATGTTTTAGTTTGGCAATAGAACTCGGTAGATCCACAATTTCGCCATCCCTCAATTTCAAAACATGCAGGTTTCTGAATTTTGATAAAATTTTTTCAGACTATGTAAAGGCTATTATGGATCAACTTTGGTTTAAATTATCAACATCTACGGTGTGGTGTTCAGATAAATACCCCTTGCCGTTGTTATATTATCTGATCAGAGTCATGTTAAATATAATTACCTCCATGCAGAAGTTGTTGGAGCAAAATTCCAGCAGAAAGTCAAAACAACGAGTAGCTTTAAAAAATGACATGTGGAGTACTAAGCCGCTATCAGATGGTCAGGTACAAATTTGGTTTACCTGCCTGTGCTTATTGGATTGCTTTCAGTTTTTCTGGGTGGTTTTTCTGGATGCTGAAGTGAAATTTTGTTATGTTAAGCTTACAGACAATTTTCTTGTTCTTTTCAGTCTAACAGAGTTACGTTTAACTTGACACCGGAGATTATACTACAGGTATGTTGCTAACCTTTTAGAGATTATACATGATTCAACCTCTTGTACCTCAACCAAAATCCTTGTATTACACTGAGTAAGTGCAATTGGAGAGTGTAACTAGAAATCTTTGACATGTTGATAATCTATGGGTATATAATGGTCTTGGGACACATGGAAATATCTTCATCCCTGGAATTATATGTTTCTTCAATGCTTTTGCTTTAAAGTGGTTGATCTGCCGCCATTTCATCACATAGATTAAATATATCTCTCATTCATCTCAGATTTTTGCTGAGAAACCAGCTGTCCGCCAAGCATATCTAAAATTTGTGCCTAACAAGGTAGAGTTAGATTCTTTTTCCAATTAATCTGTGTCATTGAATCTCGACTTTTGAATGTTTTCATTACCATTAATTCATCTGGTGTTAAAAACTATTGTTGATTTTTTCTTTTGTTTTGTTTTTGGGTTACCTTTGGTATTCCTTTCAGATGTCTGAGAAGGAGTTCTGGACCAAATATTCTCGAGCAGAGTACCTCCATAGTACAAAAAATGTTGTTGCTGCCGCAGCAGAGGCTGCAGAAGATGAGGAACTTGCTGTATTTTTGAAGCGAGATGACATGTTAGTGAATGAAGCTCGGAGGAAGGTGCTTATTTTTAATATCATATAAAGGAGTAACAAGTCTACCTTTTGTTTCTTTCCTTCTTGATATCTCTAAACTCTGTTAAACCTTTTGTAAGGTGTAAAAACACCTAAAATCTTTTATGTTCATATCATTTGTTTCAGATCAAACAGGTTGATCCGACTTTGGATATGGAAGCTGATGAAGGAGATGACTATACGCACCTCCCAGTAAGCTCTGTTACACTTTAATCCGGGGAGTAATATTGCAGCACTTGCTAATTTCTCAAATTGAAAACTTGTTGCACAATGATCCCACGTAGATTAAGTTTTTCTTTTGGTTACCTTCTCCAAGAAATTAATCCTTTTCTACCATCTGTAAGCTTTTAGAAGGATATATGCTAGGAAACAGTTCAGAAGCTTTTTTGTATCTTTGTTACTTTTCATGGGATATGTTTTTACCGTAATATATGTTGTCATGCTTAGTACAATGGTAGTTGGCCTGATTTCAACTATGTTACAGGACCACGGGCTATCACGTGGGGATGAAAAGGAGGTTTTGGAACCACAATACGAGCCATTCAAAAGATCTTTCTCCCAGTATCTCAATCAGCATGCAGCCATAGTGCTTCAAGGAAGAGTTGTAGGTACAGTTTTTTTGTTTGTAACTTTAGATTAACAAATCTACTGCTAATGTCTCAACAGTTTTTTGCTGTATGGAAATCTTGATTGGGATAACAAGGTTCATCCATATGCTATGGACCTTTTCATTGTCTAATGGACAAATTTAACAATCAGCAACTTGGCTTGTTAGAATTTAAGATTGTTCGTTTTCTCCTACAATGGTGTGCTTACCTACTTTTTTTTTTTTTTTTTTTTCCTTTTTCTCCTTCACAATGCATGTAGTAAAATTAGTTCTTCCCTTGGTATAGTTGTGGGGTTTTAGCAAATGGGCGTCACCTTTGCAAATTTAGTTGCATCTTTGGAAACACGTATATGTTGTGAAGAGATGCAGAATAGACTGTTATCAATCATTAGATAACCATTATTTGCCTTGGAGTTTATTGCCTATCAACTTTTTGTTAAGTGTGAAAGGTGTTTATGATTAGATATGAATGAAACTAGGTTGTTTTAATTTATTGACTGGTTTGGAGATGCATTAAAGCATTTAGAACTCAAAGATGTCGATATCACTTGTCTATTAGCCTACTATTTTTTCCCTTGGGAGTTTACCATTTGTCAACTGTATATGAAGTTTGAAAGGTTGATTGTGATTTGTGCATATTCCGATATGAGGGGTTTTATTTTATTGGTCTTTTGTTCAGATAGCTTGTTATTGTTCCCTGACTGTCGTGGTCATGCATGGTTGCACATTGAATGTTTGGATATTGGTATCATTTGCTATTCTTGCTTATGATAGATTGTGGATATTTTCAAGACTTATTTCTGCTGGTGCGCGAAGTTGTAATTTGCCTGTACTTTCTAACTTCTGGCAATTGATGCTGCAGATGTTGAGTCAGGGGATACCAGATCGGTAGCTGAAGCACTTGCCAGGACCAAACAGGGTCGACCCCTCAATTTTTTATTTACGTTTGTAAAAGATGTTACTTGTTTATTTAGTTTTCTTGTAGGAAATCTGATGATATGGCTTAACTGATTTTCAGCGGAGTTGGCAAAAGATGTTTCTGATGTGGATATGGACCATGCTCGCTTAGAGAGGGTATCTCGTATGGCTGAGATTGAAGATCTTCAAGCACCAAGCGAACCTCCAGTTGCACCACTTAGCATTAAGGTTGGTTTTCCAATGGTTTGATCTTTTGACCTTGTTAGTTATTGCATACTCATCTTTCGTGTCTTTGGAATCAGGATCCACGTGACTACTTTGATTCTCAACAAGCCAATGCCTTAAATACTGCGGCGGAATCTGATTTCTGCTCAACCCAATTAAATTTTAGTATCAGACCTTCTCTGGCATACAGTTGGTTAAATGAATCCATCACTGAGATTAAAACAGGGGGACTAGCCGATCCCCTTATTTCTTCAGATGTTGCTCTTAAGGTAGCCAAGTCTTTCTTCCATAATTGTATGTGTGTGCTTCAACTGAAAATATGGATGCTGATGTTGACGCAGGAATGTAATTGCTTAGTGTTATTTTACAGGTCTTTGATAGTTTGAATCAGAGTATGTCATGCACCAAGTTTAATGTGGGGAGGAACCCCAGTGACAGTGTTTTGGATAGTTTGCCGAAAGATACGAAGGAGGAACTTTTACACGTGAGTAAACTAGGAAGCCATAATATCTTTTTTTCTTCCAAATTTTCTTGTGACATAATTTTAGTAATGCTGTATTTTTTTTCAGCATTGGACATCAATACAAGAGTTACTGAAGCATTTTTGGTCATCATATCCTATTACAGCGAAATCTCTCTTTTCTAAGGTATGCACACATGGATCTATGTTTTTCCTTTTGTACTACTTGCTATTCTTGATAATGATATTGCACCCTGTGATTAAAAGAATTTCCAGTTGCATCTAGTATTCATTTTGCTAATAGTAATGATCTAATACAACTTGCAATGAATACCATCATCGTCGTGGATGGACTTCTTAGCTTTCAAGTTTTTTCACTTTGCAGTACAATGACTTTTACCTGGATGTGGATTCAAATTTTCTCTTTATCTGTAGGCAACCAAAATGAAGGATGCTATGTCTCAAATTTATCCAAAACTGCAGGTATTGTGCCTGTAATAATACTTTGGGAAAAAGATGTTTTGCTCTTCACTATCTCTACTGTTTTATTTTGTTTTAGTACCTCAATTTTACCTTTTGTGTGGTAGAAAATTTAGCATGAATAACTCAGTCATATAAAGGTCAATAATGTCAATTAATGTTGAGGTCAGTGTGTGTGTATTTTTCTTATAGTAATTGGATTCCTCCTTACAATTTCACTTTGGTAATTTAGAATAATGACTCTGGATATAGTGCATAGACCGATGACACAAACACTCATGCGTTTACGAGATGAACGTTGAAGAAGCTTAGCATGAGTTGAAAGGTTACTATTAAACAAAACATGACCAGATTTACATGTTTATTCTGCAACATAGAAAAGGTGGCTACTCTAGTTCTGATTATGTCTTAAACAAGGAATGGTCTTCTGTGTGCCATGGTTTTTATCACACCAGGGAAGAAGTTGATTTGGCGGCATTTTGATATTTTCTTTAATGTATCCTATAAATTTTCAGGAGTTAAAGAGAACAGTGCAGTCAGACTTACGGCATCAGGTCTCACTTCTTGTGCAACCAATGCTCCAGGTGAGTTTTCTTTTCCCTACTGATAATCCGATTGTCATTAACATAGGAAAGTGAACCGCATTGACAAATGAATTGAATGATAATATCTTCATTTTGGGAACGTTTCAGAAGTGTTGAATTTAAATGACTTAGAATCTTATCAGCTAAATAATGAGAACTTAAGATGTGAAAAGGTGTCCGAGATGGAAAAGTTGGCCATCCTGAAAATTTCTAGTCTGTTTTGGTTACCAGACCGTAGAAGCTTGAAACATACAACTCATAGACCAGTCTTTGTGCAGGCCCTCGAAGCGGCTTTTGCACATTATGATGCTGATATCCAGAAGAGATCGTCAAGGAATGCAGGGAGGCCTAATGGCTACTGAGAAATGCAGAGAATGTTAGATTTAGAGCCAAACTTTTGTGTAATACTGCCTGCTGTACTGTACTTATTCAAGATTTTTTTCCTTCCCATTATTATATTACATTATTCATTTTCTCCCATTTCCAATATCAAAACTAATCTCTCATGACACTCTCTAATGCAACTTTTAACCTCCATTTTAGAGTCCATCATGGTTATTGTTTTTTCCATTTTCCTTCATCTGCAATTATTTTTTCTTTGTAAAGTGAAAGCCAAATAATCTTCTTAGTTTCTTCCAAGCAAAAGGAATATTTAGAAATGACTTTTACAACTTTTTTTAAGAAAAACTTGTTATTATAATTTTTTCCCTTGCTAAAACAAAATGTATGTCTAACAATCGGGCAGCACTGTGTATACGATGTCAAGAACATTCTAGGCATAAGCAAAATTTTCTTTTCACTTTTGGGAATAAAACTAAATTATGTATTAACCGAAAAACATAGCTAGTCAAAAAGAGTATACATAAAACTTTCAATAAATAATTTTTTTTTGGGTAAATTTTAATAAATGTTAATAATGTAGTTATTGTGTTTACAATACATGATGGTGAAAATTATGTTGTGATTGCATTTTTCGGAACTGATAAATGTGCAGCAAATAACATATGTAGCCGTCTAAATACACATTAAATCGATGAGTGGAAAAAGCTTCATTTTGGAAGGGATAAATGAAGCATTAGAATATAAAGTTTAATAAATTCCTAGAAAAAGATACAGTATATTGTTTCACTCAATTTTCAGTGACTGAAACATTGCACGAATGAAGATATTAATACTGTCTTTTCTTTCTGTTGAAAAGTAAATAAGCATATTAATAATGAAAAAAAAAAAGACGTGGAGAATATTACTACTCATTTATATTAGTGATAAAGAATAATAGGCGAGGGTTAAAAAATTCATTTTAATGTGTGAAAGGATTAGAGGAAAAATTAATGGTGTGATAAATTATAAAAACATATTGCGAAAAACCTAAATCATGAAAGTTTTCTGCCTTCCACAAAGAGGCTATTATAAGTGGACAAATTACATGGGTGTGAAATTAAGTACTTCATGTATATTATATCTTATGTGACATACTTTTTTTTATAATGATGCTATATATTTAAGAAAATAAATGAAATAGGGCTTACTTTCTAATTAGGACACACACAAAACCTCTCATGATTGTTATCAATCTAGAAGGTGAATCTTGAATTTTTTTTTTCTAAGCAAGGGAAGAATGGATGATGTGAAGACCAAATTAGGTTTACCTATTTTCTTATAAGATGGGAGTTAGTGAAACGTGTTAAATGATTAAAAGAATTGGGGGGAGGAAAAACAGAGTAAAGTACAACCACTAATTAATTAACCGAAGTTAAAAATTTAGCGAATATCCTAATATAACATGTTTTTTTAAAAGTTTGGAATGTAAATGTCATATTTTTAAACTTTGGGATGTTTTGTATGATGTGGTCCAAACTTTGGGATAAAAAACCCATTTTCCCTATTTAGGAAACAGGAAACATATGTTACAGCACAATTTCCCGAAAAAGAAAAAAAAAATTAAAAAGAGCGCGTGGGATCACCCCCGACTCCTCTGCGATATATTTGTACTGAGACGAACTCGGAAAGAATTCAAGAAAATTGCGGAACTTCTCAACTCTTTGAGTTCTTCTTCCAACTCCAAGCTGTGTTCAATTCCACTGCTATGAAATTTCTGATGGGATTCTGAATTTCTTCATAGTGTTAGTGCCGAAGCTTCAATCTCTCTTCGCCATGGTAATTTTCTTGGCCGTAATTTCTACTTTCTTTCTTTACTTTCTTGTTTAGGTAGTACGGCGTTATTTTATCATGCATATTGTTTTGTGCATATTATAATGGTGTAATGTTCTTTGGGCAAGCAGGAAGAAGATTTAGTTTAGTGATTATTGTGCATGTGGCATTGCAGCCTGATTTCTTTACAATGTGTTGGGAGGAGGTTATTGAATTTGGTTTTGAAGGGATTTGGTTTCACATAGAAATGTGTGGTTTTCACTTTTGAATTGTTATGGGATTTTATTCAAAATTAGATACTCAAAAATCTTGATGTGGTTCTTGCCCGAGTGAAAGGAAATGGGTTTGAGCAATTTTAGTTTGTTAAGTGAATGTTTTTGAGTTAATGGTGTGAGGGAAATACTATACTATTAATAACTCTGTGGCCTCTAGGGATTGTTTCATGTTCAATTGTTCCAATTCCGATGATGAAAATAAAGGCGAGAAGGCTCTGACTGCATTTTTAAACATCTTGAAGTTCTTGCTTAGGCGTTACGGTGTGAAGTATGGAAAAGAGTTACTCCATATATTTTAGCTGTGTTTTGTGCTTCTCTTTTATGGTAAAGAGAATGTGGAAAGATTGAGTTCAATTTTTTTTGTTGAGCTGCTCTGTTTTCAGTTTGTCTACTCGCATACTCTTGGAACTCAAATTTGAATATCATGCACATTAATGCACATGATATGAACTATGTTGTATTGATCTTCACGCCATCTTTTGTCATTAGGTTTTTATATCATTTTACTCCAAAAGGTTAACTTTTAGTTCTTTTTTTAATGGAATCCCTGTGGTACTTGTTCACCTTCCTGATACTGTTATAGGTAGTTCTGTTTTTGTTTGCTTCTTGCTATCGAACTGGTGTATGTCGGGGTACATAATTTGATTAGACACCGTGGCCTTGTGTAGGAAAGTTGTCTTTTCTAATTTCATTTGTGACTTTTTTCCTCAACACTAAATACATGTCCCTCTAAAACTCTTAAATCCTAGTTTTTGTTGCATTTCGGACTAGCTCCTTGTGTTTTAATTGCTTTATTGAATCATGTTGCAGCGTTCATTTTCTTTCTTGAGCATGAAAACTTTCTTGTTATGAATGCCATGTCAACATTGATTGGAAGCTTCTTATTTGGAATCCTTCTTGTTATAATTAAGTTTATTCCTTCTGGACTTGTGTACTGTTGACTTTCTTATCTTTCTTAAATATGTGGTTTACTATATCCCAGTCTCTCAATACCATTTCTTTTCTTTTTGTAGTTTCTTTCGGGAAACTCGAGATGCACTATTATGCATGAAGCGTATTTCAAGTGTTTAATCTGTTAGCTACACAGCTGTACAACATATTCTATATCCATATAATAGAAAATCAATATGGGGTATTTAGAGGCGCAACTGTTTTGAGTACTTTTATTTGTCAGTTTTTATATGATCCTGCACTGTGCCTGCAGGTAACTATTTGCCTTCAATGTGGCGACGAAGGATTCTCTAACGCATTTGTTTACTGCGTTAAATGTCTGAATTTTGCTCTGCATCGGTAAGTACCTCTAGTACTGTCTGGTTTTATATTTTTTTTGCTTGCTTTTATTTGGATCTCCTATTCACAAAAGCCTCCCCACAAGAGTACACTTGTGGTCTCACTTGTGTCAAACGAAAATGGACTGAAAAGAAAGAAAATATTTTGTTATTCCTGCAAAATTGTTGCTTGTGGTTATTGCTTGACAATGAAAACTTATCTGCAGGACACACTTCAACTCTTCAAAGAAGTATACATCAGAAAGTTGGATGGCAATTATTTACTTGCTTTTTATTCACAGACTTTTCTTTGTGTGTGTGTGTGTGTGATGTCTATCTTTTCTCTGCTTTTTCTTTAGTTTTTTGGCCTTTCGCTTTCAAGTTCCTTGGAATCATTGGTCCTTAGACAGCCCATGGATTTGGATTATTTCCTTTCTTCTTGTTGAGGATTTTTGGTATGGACACTCAGATCTCATTAAGACTCATTTTTTTGTGATCTTTCCATTCCTTTTTTCTCTTGCGCAGATATTGCCTGGATGAGATGCCAGAGACTCTTGATGAATTTGTCTATTGGGTTTGTGATCATTGTGAAGCTGAGTCCTGTGGGAATGTAACCACAGCAAAGCCGAAAGCTAATGTATCTCATAGAAAGGGTCCTACAAGTTTGGTGGAGGAACAAGGGAAAGTCGTTGCTAGCAAAGGAATGGAGGGAGAGATGGGGCAGCAAAGACTTCAACATAATGGTAGGAAGAGAAAGGATGTAAATTCTCCGCTGTCCACTGGGAGTAAAGAATACTCTGGCACGAGAGCTAGGGTGGAGAATGATAGATTTCATCCAGCTGAGAGTAATGCAAGGAGAGAACTGATTAAATCTAGTGATGCAGTCGATAAAATTCCTCTTATTGATAAGTGGAACGAAAAGCAAATGAAAGGCAACTACTCAGTAGTAAATTCCCGAAAGGAAGGCGCACAGAAAAGCTTAGATGTCCCCCAACAAGCCGCAGTTCATCAGGAGCCACCCAGTACATCCGTTGAACTTGCTAGACCATTAATTGAGCCAGTCTGGAGGTTGATAGTTATTTCTTTGCTTGATCAACCTACTGATGAATTTATAATTGGAGTTTTGACTATTATATCTACTTTTGTTGCAGGGGGGGATTTTTTATACAGAACACTTATGCTGTCTATGATGGATTGGCAGCTCATTTGTCAACTAAAGTGGGCTTGAAAGTATACGAGGAGGCAAAGTTGTTTCCAGCATCGCTGAAGCTGGATATGTACCCAAAAGCTGATGTTTGGCCAAAGAGTTTTCAGAAATCACAGCCGTCTGATGGCAGCATTGCACTATACTTCTTTGCAACAGAAAAAAGGTTTAGCTTTCAGCACTGAAAATTGTCCTCATGATGTATAGAACCTGTCTTGTGTTGAACATAAAGGTTGTTTGTCCACAGGTCTGGATCTGAAAAGCTCTTTGATCATCTGGTGAGGGATATGATGCGTAGAGAACTTGCTCTAAAAGCAATTGTGGAAAATGCAGAGCTTTTGATTTTCACCTCTAATGAACTGCCAAGCAATTATTGGAGTAAGTTGTCTCTTTCATTTGGTTAAAAGCATTACTTCAGTCCTTTCTGTATTCAGAATTTTGAGATCCCAAACACTGTGTTTGACAGGATTTCGGGGCAATTACTATCTGTGGGGTGTTTTTAGGGCAAAGCAAAGTTTATCCTCATGAGCAGTAGTGGTTGGCTTCATAGTGGGATTACAAAGCCTAGATATATGAGACAGGATTTTAGAATAGGGAGTGTTTTTCGCACTGTGACATCATTGTAGTAGAATTCTGACTTAGCTACATTGCTAACAAATACCCGGACACTCCAGCGCCTTGGAATGACCTGCTATCAGTGCAGATGGCTGCTGTATGATAGTGTGTACACATTAGACAAATTAGACTGAGTATGCTTCACTTGTTGGAAAGGCAATTTTGTGGGGTTCTTTAGTTAGAGCCGAATCCAGATGGACACTCTTTCCATGTCTGTTGTTTGTATAAAATTTTCTTTTGAACAACAGAGAGAAAAGAAATGTGCAGCGTTCATATATGAGTTCATTTCATTTTTCGAAAATTTTCTGGTGTTACTTGCTCGGGCTACTGCTTTTTGTTCATGTCTGTTTATTCATTCAGTTATTAAAAATCTTCAGAGAATTATGTCTCGCTCCTCAGATAATTCAGTCAGAGAATCTTGTAGTGAAAATAGGAAAAAAGTAAAGGAAAGAAAGTGCAAAAGAATTATCTTGTAGTGAAAATAAGGAAAAAGGAAAGAAAGTGCAAAAAGTCAGTTTAAGAAAAACAAAACAAAACGGGGGCATTCCGAGAATTGAACTCGGGACCTCTCGCACCCTAAGCGAGAATCATACCACTAGACCAAATGCCCTTCAGTTTACTGAATGAGGAATTATTAAATTATTAATAAAATACGACAAATCATCTCTTGGGCTAAACAGCAAAAACAATATCTTCTTCGGCCTGGAGAAGAAAAATAAACTAAACTTAAAATTACATCAAGAACTCTTAGTTTCCCTGCCCTGCCCAAAAATAAAGTAAAAAATGCAAATTAGACAATTATTTTAATGCAGGGGAAGTAAATTAAAAGATTTGGCCAAAAAAGATCATCTCTCATTGATCTGATGCAAGTATTTATACAGAATTACAAGATGTAAATAGGAAACTCTAGACTAGAGTAAAAAGGAAAGTTACAACATGGTAGTTACATCTTATACAGTCTAGTAACTTCCAGTATCTTCTTTACTCCCCCGAGTAAAAAGAAAAATTACAACATGATAATTACATCTTATACAGTCCAGTAACTTCCAGTATCTTCTTTACTCCCCCTCAAGTTGGAGCATATAAATTCACTATGCCCAACTTGCTCAACAATGCATGAAACTGATCACGACCCAAAGCTTTAGTGAAAAAATCCGCCAATTGATTTTGTGAAGAAATAAACCGAGGGATCAAAATCTTGGACTGAAAATACTGTCGAACAAAATGACAATCGATTTTTATGTGTTTCGTGCGCTCATGAAATACTGGGTTAGCAGTAATATGAATTGCCGCTTGATTGTCACAATAGAGGGGAACTGGATAAGTGAATAATACTTGCAATTCAGAGAATAATCGAACAAGCCACACCAACTCACTAGCTGTAGTAGCCATCGCTCTATACTCTGCTTCGGCAGTGGATCGAGAAACTACGGTCTGTTTCTTAGATCGCCAAGAAATTGGAGAATGTCCCAGAAACACCATAAAACCCGTAGTAGAGCGTCGAGTAGTCGGGCAACCCGCCCAATCTGCATCACAATATGCCCGTAGACACAGAGAATTATCAGAAGGAAGAAAAATGCTTTGACCAGGTGCATTCTTCAGATAACACAACACTCGAATCGCAGCATCATAATGAGGCCCACGTGGTTGTTGCATGAACTGGCTAAGAATATGGACAGCATAACTGATGTCAGGACGCGTGATAGTCAAATATAGAAGGCGACCAACAATGCGTAGATATTGTCCAGGATCATCATGAAGTTCCCCAGAATCAGAATCGAGTCGATGTTGTTGCTCCATTGGAGTAGAACATGGTCGACAACCTGTAAGGCCACATTTTGCAGGATATCTAGAGCATATTTGCGCTGGCTAAGAGCAATGCCAGAAGAAGATCGCGCAACTTCAATGCCCAAGAAATACTTAAGGGGACCAAGATCTTTAATGTGAAACTCACCATGCAGATATCATTTAAGTTTCGCAATCTTGGCTGAATCATTCCCAGCTACAATGATGTCGTCGACATAAATGAGTACAGCAATAAAACATGAATCATGACTGTACGTAAATAAGGATGAGTCCGAGTGTGATAATCGAAAACCAGCTCGCAAACGTGAATGAGTAAACTTTTGGTACCAGTTACGAGAATCTTGGTGCAAGCCATAGAGAGACTTCTTATGACGACAAACACGTTGCTCCCCCTTTCTTGCAAATCCCTGAGGAATCTTCATGTACACTTCTTCATCGAGATCTCCATGCAAAAAGGCATTGGTCACATCGAGTTGATGCAAATCCCACTTACGTACGGATGCAACTGCAAGAAGACAACGAACTGTGACTAACTTTACAACAAGTGCAAACGTCTCGTGGAAATCAATCCCTTCAATCTGCGTGTACCCCTTGGCCACTAATCGAGCCTTGTGTCGCTCAATGCTCCCATCTGGGTTAAACTTGACCTTATATACCCATTCAGAATCAATGGCCTTCTTGCCAGGCGGCAAAGAAACAAGAGTCCATGTTTTGTTTGCTTCCAAGGCCAAAATCTCCTTAGCCATGGCATCTCTCCAATGTGCATGTTGAACTGCTTGCAAGAAAGAATTGGGCTCTTCTCGGGAAGAGATGGCCGCTAACAAAGCAGTATAAGGTTTAGAAAACCGAGAATAACACAAAGTCTGAGAGAGAGGATATACAGTCGAGTTAGCCGATGGAGTTGAGGAGGATGGCATTTGAGTAGTAGGAAGCAATGAGGGTGGTAATGTATAATCATAGCCTGATAGATGTCGAGAAACTTGTCGAATCCGCCTTTCTGGAGGTGGAGGAATCACAGGCGATGGTGAAGGTAATGGAGAAGTCAAATCCGCAGATGGAGAAGTTTTAGGTGATGGAGTATTTGATTCTGATAAATTTACGGCTGGAAGATCAAGAGAGGTGGGTGTATCCTCATCAAAACCAGGAGAATGATCCGATGTGTAATCCGGGAATGGATGTGGATATCCAGTTTTGTCATCTGGTGTTGTCGATTTTGCCATCATCGCAAAAGGGAAAAAATCCTCAAAGAATTGAACATCTCTGGATGTATAAATCACCTTACGATCCAGGTCATAAACTCTATAACCCTTCTGGCCATGAGGGCAACCAACAAATACACAAGGATAACTCCTTGACGCAAATTTATCTCGAGAATGAGACAAAACATGAGCATAACAGAGGCATCCAAAACTACGGAGATGGGTTTAAGAAGGTTTGCATCCAAACAAAATCTCATAAGGTGTCCGATTGTTCATTACAGATAGAGGCATGCGATTAATCAGATAAGTGGCAGTAAGAACGCATTCTCCCCAGAAACTAATTGGCAAGTTTGCTTGAAAGCGCAGGGCCCTAGCTACTTCTAAAATGTGTTGATGCTTTCGCTCTACCACACCATTTTGTTGTGGAGTGTATGGATAACTGGTTTGCCTTTCAATACCATTATCCCAAAAATGAGTTAACAAGGTAGCATGACTAAATTCAAGACCATTATCAGTTCGAAACACTTTGTGATGAGAATCATGTAGCCTTCCATGGTGATTCTCCAAGTGAGGGGAATGAGCTAGTCCTTCATTCTAGTTTTGGAATGCCAAGTTTACTTTGCAGGCCAATCAAGGAAGAGAGGATGGATCTTGACTACCTATGTGATAGGGAGTTGGTTCAAGAGAGCTATGATCAAGATGATGAGAATGTCATTCACTTTGGGGTTCAAACCAAAGGAGATGATGACCTCATGGAAATAAGTGCTCAAGAGTATCAAGAGAGTTTGACTCTAGGTGCTCCATGAAGATCATTGATCAAGCTAGTGAGAAGAGTCATTTAGGTTCTTGAATGGACGGCCTATTTGATCAAAGTGTTCAAGATTGAGTCCATTGCTACAAAATTGGATAGGTTGCAAACTATCTTAATTGTTTCAAGTGTTTTTCCAATCTTTTGGAGTCAATAAAGAGAATTCTACAAGTTTTGGAGTAACTTAGAATTTTCTACAACTTGAGGGGCGCAAGACCAATATTTCACTTTTGGAAGGGCGTTCAAGACATTTTACTTTAATAATTTGGAGCTGAATTTCGGATTTTAGAGTTTGTCTAAGTCTAGGAGTTAATTTTCGAATTTTATCTAGTTAGATAAGCCATGTGGGCTGAATAACACTAGAGTGTTTTGATTAGGAGTCTTAGATTCCTTCTAGATATTATCCCACTTGAGGATAAGTCATTTAGATAAGGTTTCCTAGATTTTAGATAGCGTCAAAGAGATCAAATACTCTTCTACTTCTACTCCTTGTGAGATAAAATTAGAGAGTCCTGATTGATCTTCTTTTCTTGGTGCTGGCCGAAAATCTTAGCCTATAAATAGGGGGAATGGCCGAAATTTCAAAGCACCCTTGAGTGGTCATTTTTGTTGTCTCTTTTGACAGTTTTTCCTGTGAGAAATTTTTGTTAAATGGAGTGTCCATTTTTCGTGTCAATTATGATTTAACCAATAGGGTTTTCATCTTGTCTTGGATCTTTTGATCTTGCAGAAACCGTTCTTTTTCAAGTATGCTTCTTGATAGAATTGTTTTAAGACTAAACTTCTTATTTTCATACTACTTCTAGTAGTTCGATTGATGAGCCTTTCTTTTGGCTTGGTGTTCGAATTCATGATGTGTGTATTCATAAGTTCCATTGTGGGGTTTGTCCTACTTTTGTTGGATGAGTTGTGCTTTGGCATAAGCATTTTGAGATAGTGTATGTGTTGCATATCTTTGTTGGTTATGGAGATTACTAATCAATAGTATTCCTTCATAGTTGAGCATTGTTTGCTCCTACATTTCTTGAGTCTCTTGAATGATGACTGATCGAGTATATTGAATGGTGTCCTTGCTATTCTTAGTGTGAGTTGTTGTTGAATTCGAATCTTTAATGGATAATGTGTTCTTTGCTTGGTTTGAGTTAAGAGATAGAAATCACTTAGATAAACGATCTTCTTAGTGTGAATTTTCCGCACTCTTTTGAGTTTCACGGGATAGAAAAATTATCTTTGTACTTTCTTGTTTGATGGTTGCATTAACGAAATTCGCTTCATCTACGAGATTGCTATCAGTTTCTTGGTATCAGAGCTTGGACTATCTTAGTGATGGTATTAATTGATATTATCATATCAGTTTCTATTATCAGTTTGATTTTCGAGAGATTTCTTTTTGATTGAGGACTTCATAGTTCTTGGTTTTGAGAATATCTTGAGTTACCACGGAATCCGTTACTTGGTGTGGTAATCGAGC